TTTTTCTTTTCTCCTTCTCTTATGCTAAATGATATGTTTTTTCGTTGATTAATTTGTGAATTATAACTATAAGTAAAAGGTTTATGGATATAGACACAGAGATTATTGATTCAGTGGTATGATTCATTTTAAGATGTGTTTTGATGGTGATGATAGGTATGGAATTGAGCAGGAGTACACTCTACTCCAAAAGGACGTCCACTGGCCACTCGGTTGGCCTGTAGGTGGCTTCCCAGGTCCACAGGTACCCTTAATGCTGTTTAATCATCATTATTAAAGCTGCTTATCTTCACCGACTGTCTAGATATTTTAATGAATAGTACTTTCATAACCAAAAACAATTATGAGGGTCGGAGAAACAAAATTCAAACAATTTCAAGTCGACTGGACAGAGTTTTTATTAGTCTATTATTATTAAGAACAATTTTCGTTTATCAATAAGATAATCTACTAAAATATTAGTAAACTTGTGGAAAGAGGACAAACAGTTTTTAACAATAATGATTTAAAAAAAAAAAAAAATGTATATACCCAAAGTGATGTCAGATCAGCATTGCTTTTAGAAATGGCGTAAGAAAAATGGTTATTAAACAATAACTAAGGCTTGTAGTTTTAGTAAAAACTATTTTAGGACATCGAGTTTCGTTTACTCAAAATTATCTGTTTAATTGGAATGTGTACAAAAATGGTTTGGAAAAAAGAATCCTAAATGTTCGATAATTGTCTGAATCGGTGCCATGCAGGGTCCTTACTATTGTGGCACAGGAGCAGACAAGGCCTTCGGTCGAGATATTGTAGACGCTCACTACAAGGCTTGTCTTTATGCCGGAGTCAATATCAGTGGAATCAACGGTGAAGTCATGCCCGGTCAGGTGCGTCACCATCGTAATATCCAGTGTCTAAGCACACAAATAATATCCGATTTTATTTATTTATTCTCTCCTTAAAATGATTCCCATTTTTTTGTTTTGTTCTGTTCTGTTTGGACAGTGGGAATACCAAGTCGGTCCAACCGTTGGTATTGCTGCTGGTGATCAAGTATGGATCTCCCGATACATCCTCGAGGTACACTCTAATTCCAATATGAAAAATCACCATTTTTGTTTTTTTTGGTGAAGAATGACTAATCCCCCAATGATAGGGTTCATTTTGAGCATAAACACAAGTGACTTTGCTTTTTGGTTTTTTTAAAAAGTCTAATTTCAATAGATATGTATTCCTTATTTATAAATCTATTCTCCCTTCCTTAATTAATCACTCCTTAATTAATCCGCTCCACTTCCAACCTACTTTTTCTATTTTTTTTATTTTTTTGTGGTGGTGGAACAGAGAATCACAGAAATTGCAGGAGTTGTTCTGTCCTTCGACCCAAAGCCAATTAAGGTGTGTTATCAATTCAATCAGTAGACGCCAATTAAGGTTGAATTATTTCGTCTTGATGGTGATTGATATGATGTTGTTTTCTTAACAACCAGGGTGATTGGAATGGCGCTGGTGCTCACACCAACTACAGGTGTTGTTTTCATCTTTCTTGAATTTGTCGTTTGTTCTTTAATAATTGAAATCTTTTTGGGTTCTTTTTTTGTGGTCGGCCTCAGCACCAAATCAATGAGAAACGACGGTGGCATTGATGTGATCAAGAAAGCCATCGAGAAACTGGGATTGCGTCATAAACTGCACATCGCTGCCTATGGAGAAGGCAACGAGAGAAGGTTAACCGGCCGCCACGAGACTGCCGATATCAACACCTTCTCTTGGGTATCTTGTCCTTTCTTCCTTTACTTGCTAAACAGCTCATTGATTTACATAAAGTTGGTAACCTAATGGTGAAGAACTTACAGGGAGTTGCAAACAGAGGAGCCTCTGTCCGTGTCGGCCGCGACACTGAACAAGCCGGGAAAGGCAAGTTACTCTAAACTGAAACCATAATTTCCATTTTCCATCCTCTTTTTGCTGAAAATTTGTTCTGAAAACAATCGTTTCAGGCTACTTTGAGGATCGAAGGCCAGCTTCAAACATGGATCCTTACGTCGTCACTTCCATGATCGCCGAAACAACCATTATGTGGAAGCCGTAGACGGATTCGATCAGCCGGCGCTCTGACGGCGCCGCCCCTATCCGGTTCATCTCTGTTTCTATCTACTACATTTACTGCTACTGAGAGTGGTCTATGTCCAAAACTCTGGTTTCTGTATATTTGTGTGTGCCATGTGATTGCGTTCAGCCATTGCTTCCTGTTGTTTCCCTTTTTCTTCTTTTATCACAAACAATAATCAATTTATTTTCTTCTGCTCCATGCTTTTATCGTTCATGCAACTAAATGTCTCTTTTTATTTTTGGGAATTAAAAATGTAATCGTGTTATTATCTGCTTCGCATGACATAAAGTAATTGTCAGCCTTCCATTTAAATATTTAACCATATTTTAAAGGAATTTATACATGCACGTTTTCAACTAAGTTGATTCCCACAAAAAAGTGGGAATATTGCATACAATAATTATACTTTATAACTTTATCATATTAGGAGTACTTATGGAAATTGTTGGTATTTAATTAAGTTCCATGTATACCATTAATTATGAACATATAAAACGGGAATCTTTTTTTTCTTCTTATTAATAAGTAAAAGTGGGAATATATTCTTGTCTTGAATATTATAAATGAAATGGCGATGAATCATGTGTTTTAAAAATAAAATGGAAAGCTTTCTTGTAATCTAATTTAATTTGTTTTTTTAATATATTAGTGACTTTATATGAAACTTTATGTGTTTGGAACATTCATTTGAAATTAAATATCATTCGTGCCACTATGCCTTCATTGACGATGACTGCACTAAAAATTGCATCTTGTGCCGATTACATTATCTAAATAATTTGACCAATTAATTCAATTACAATTTAGATTGGATTATTGGTTAAAAGTGGTTTGGATTGAACCAAATTTAATTTATTTTTAATTAAAAATATATATTTTTACTTATTTATATAATATATACTTATAAGTTTTAAGTTTATAATTTTTCTAAACATATATTATTACTCGATTGAAATCTTAATTTAATATTTAAATATAAAGTAATAGATATTCGGTACATTAACATTTTTTTTTAGTTAGTAATTAAAAGTAGGAAGGATTCCGCTCGTTTAACCTAATTATATTTTTTATTTTTATATTTGAGTTGAATTGGATTCAATTATTATTTAATATGGGTTTGATGAATTATGTCTCTTCTTTAATATTGATTGATTGACTTGACTTGCGTCTGTCCATCAATGTTGCTCATCAATGCTAAAGTCACTTGAAACGAGCCCACCGTTATAGTCAATAAATAAGGTATTAAAAAACATGTGAAATAAATATTCTATCGACAAATATATTATATATTTGTATTTTAAGCAAGACAATATTCAAACTTTTTAATTGTAGCATATATGCTCGTGTTAATAGAATAAAGACTTATATTACAAATGTAACCCTCGAGTCTTAAGCCTTGTTCTATAATTTGGCTTCTCTTACTTCTATCTTAAAAAAAAAAAAATATATATATATATATTTTTTTTCATACCTTTTATTTATTTATTATTCTTATTGTTCAAAAACTAAAACTAAACCTTTTCTAGATAATTATTTTTGGGTTGTTGTTTATTTATTTTATATATTGTGTGTACACGTGGAATATCAAAGGTTTTAAGATATAACAAGTTTAATTAAAAAAAGAAATGTTGATTCAGGAAATTAAAATTTATTATCTTCCATTTTAAATTATAGAATTAATTCTTATGTTCAATAAAAAAAAAAAGTTACAACAAGTCTTTTAACCTACTCTAGATTCTTTCCTTTTAAAATATATGAACTAAATTATAACTTTTATGGAGAAAAAAAGGACGTGATTTTTTGAGAGAACTTGGAAAGTGTAGGTATGTTGGGATGAGAATATATTGTGATTTATTTAATTACTAATATTCCTTTTTAATATTTTATCTTTAAAATATTATTTATGAAATTCATTATCGTAATATTATAATATCGTGTCATATTACTTGGTAAAGGCCATCGCCACTCGTTCGTTCTTACGTTATCATCCACCGCTTTCTCTCATTATTATTATTATTTTTTGTTCGTTATTGTATTACTAGTGACCCCACCAATATCTCGTGTCAATGAGATTTTTCAGAAACAACTTATTTTCGTTGGAGATGTTGTTATCTTTTAAAAAGACGATGTTGCTTACAAAGTTCGCTTAAATGCAAGACAAGTTCGAGAGTGATTTTGAAAATTGTATAATTAATTATTTTTCATGTTTGATTTAATCTTTTAAACACAATTTTATAACATATAAGTTAATTTGAATAATTTAAAAAATATACTTTTAAGTGAGAACGAAATAAAAATGGTTAAAACCTTAAAAAATAACTTTTACCTGGTTATCAAAACAATTATATATTTTTTAAGTAGAAAACTAAAAAGAATATAAAACGAAATAATTATATTTATAGTTTAATCGAAATTAAATATTAAATCTACATTAAAAAAAAAAAAATTACACTACAAATCTCTAATAAATTCTCACCCAACATAAAATACACAAATAAGAATTAAAAAATTTAAATAATATTTGAATCTCTATTTTAAAAAGGTTAAGATTTAATTTTGTTTATTTTTCTTTTATAAATGTAGATTGATAAATTGAATGGACCAAATATATATATAAAATATAAATATTAATAATTAATATTTAATTTTGATAATTTTTTTACTGTAGAAATAAAATTATGAAATTTTTTTACGTATGAAATTGAAAAATTTAAATATGTTTTTTTTAACCTTAAAAATAGAGGAAATAAGGTTCACATTGGGCCTTATTTAGGTTAGAAGTTGGGCCTGCCCAACTGGAAGTAGAAAGGTTGGGCTGGCCCAACTGGAAGTAGAAAGTTTGGGCCAAGCCCTTTTTTCGCCTCTTCGTCTACACTGAGAAAGAAAAGGGAAACAACAAAACCTTCTTTCCGAGGCTTCGGTTTATCTATGGCTTTCTCCGTCTCACAGTCGCACGCTTATCTCGCACCTCCTCTTACTTCCCCTCTCGGCCACGGTCACGAGCGAATCTAGGGCTTCCGCTGCCTGTCGATGCTTTATATTTTTTCTATCTTAATCTATCCTCAATTGTTTCGATTCACAGGATTCTAACTTTGAGAATTTTCCGGGGCAGAGTCTTTGGAGGGAAAATAGGATTGGTTTTTTTAAATGTCAGCTGCCTTTCTCTTGTACTACCTGTTCATGGATCTTTGAAGCTTTTTTTTTTCCTTGGAATTAGTTGTGGAAGCTAGTTTGTGTAAGTATTATTCTGTTTTCAGCAAAATGTTTTGATTTTTTGATGTTTAGCTGTTAAGTATTTGTTGTGTGCTGTGTTCTGGATACTTTTTTTTTTTTTTTTTTTTATTAAATGCGTATTCGAGGAATTTAGATGGGCTTATACTTTGCTATGCTACTTTCTTATGTTCTCCCTCTCAATTTGCATATTTGAAACATGATTTGGATGGATTTCTTTTTCTGATGTTAATGGTAGTAAATGATAATTTGCGTTCTTTCCTGAAATTGAGCTTACCTGGATGATGGATCGTATTTGCTGTAACTGCAGAGTGGTAGAAGTTTGAAAAAGTTGCAATGTACGCGAGGAGAATAAAGTGTAGAAATCAGAGATGGGATTTAGTGTTTCAGCCATCCAAATATTTAAGCAGGCCCGATGGCCGGGATAGTGTTTATTGTCAATATTTGAATTGTAAAAGTTTTTCTCAGAGTAGGTTTGTACGTGATAATTCAATCACAAGACGTCTATTACCTTCCTTTGGGACACGAGGTGACTACTTAAATTGTCATACTAGCTTGGAACAGGCTTCAAATTCATTTTTAAGATGTGTTCAGTTACGTCGGTATAGTTCTGAGGGTGATGGAAGGAATGCTAGTGAGGGTAAACACATACCTGTAAAAGATACAGCTGATTTTGAGAAGGGAAAGCCCAGGAAAGAAGTAATAGGGGAGGATGCAAAGCATTGTGATCCTCATGCTGAACTTGGATTACAAGATCAAAAGGAATGGCTTAAAAATGAAAAGCTTGCAATGGAGAGTAAAAGGAGACAATCCCCATTCATCACTAGACGTGAAAGATTTAAAAACGAGTTCTTAAGAAGGATTGTTCCTTGGGAGAAAATCACTGTTTCATGGGATACCTTTCCATATTACTTAAAGTAATCACCGTCACTTTGATTCTATTGTTCTTCTTTTGACAATTATTCTGTTGGATTATTTGATTATTGTCACAATTTTTTCTTGATCTCTTAGTGATCACTCGAAAAGTTTGTTGGTTGAATGTGCTGCTTCCCATTTCAAGCACAAAAAATTCACTTCCTCGTACGGTGCTCGTTTGACTTCCTCAAGTGGCAGAATACTACTTCAAAGCATTCCGGGTAAGAAAAGTCCATTTTCAAACTATCGTGTGATTTGAAAGTATTATATACTGAACTTCTTAGTTCCGTATGTCCTTTCATTGATTGCTGCAGGCACTGAGCTCTATCGTGAGAGGTTAGTCAGAGCACTTGCACGGGATCTAAAAGTGCCTTTACTGGTGCTAGATAGCAGCATTCTTGCTCCTTATGTAAGACATGAAGAAAATCAGACAATTTAAATCAGCCATGGATAGTTTTCTAGTAAATCATAGATCTAACAATTTTGGTAATTATGTCATCCAACTTTTGGTGCAGGACTTTGGTGATGACTGCTCCTCAGAGTGCGAATCAGATGATGAAGCAGAATCTGGTGAGGATTGTGCTTCAGAATCTGAGGATGAGAATGAGAACAGTGCAACTAACGAGGAGTGGACAAGCAGTGGGGAGTCAAAATCAGATTGCAGTGAGATTGACGAAGCTGATGTTGAGGCAACCGCAGAAGCAGCCCTAAAAAAACTTATTCCATGCAATATTGAAGAATTTGAGAAAGTATGCTTATGCATCCTACTCTGATAGAAAAAAGAGAAAAATTGTGTTCTTGGAGCAACTTACATTGTGTAGAAGAACATCTTTTTTTTTTTTTTTTTTTTTTTTTTTTTTTTTTTTTTTTTTTTTTTTTTTTTT